CATTTCTGTACAGCATAAAAGGCAGCAGAATCTAGCAGGCTTTTGAAATAAGAATGCTAGTAGAGCAAAGATAAAATATAGTCAGGTAATATGAATGATGACTATTTCCACTAAAGGAATAGATTCTCTTGAAAAAGGTAAAAGAACAACTTCTAAAGAACAATTTGTGATAAGCAATGGATGTGATTAGAAAATCTTGCTGTGACAGTTTAGAATTTATACCTGTTGCATTCATGGACTCCAAGAAATGTCCACAACTCACAGTATATTCCAGAAGTCCCAGAAACACAGATCTTAATAAAATACAACGCAGATTTTCATGTAACATTACATAACAGTTATATATTTTAGGTAAGTTTATAGAGGCTCAGTTCATACTACTTGAGTGCCCAATAACTTTTTCATAGTTTGTAATTTATGTTTGTTTATATTGTGCAACTAGATAGGCTATTTTGGTTTTTGAATATATTTTATAAAATACACCACTATTTTGTCGTATATGTTGACTCTTGTGTCTAAAATGTTTGTAATGATGTTTTAAAGGAAAATGTCGACTCACCTGCTTATTAGATGACACTATTGAATTGTATCTGTAAGAACTGTTTAGACAATTTACTAGGTTTCATGTTGTGTTGGGTGGTAGTTGTACAGATAATTAAATAAGCTTCAGAACTTCCAGTTTCATTTACTACCCATCTGTCTTTCTTTTTAACAAAAATAACTCTTTTGTATCTTTTGTATAATACTATACTGAAAGAAATTTCTTAATTTCCTGAAAATATTTGGGGCTAAATCTTGAGTGGTATAAATTGGCATAGTTTCATCTGGTTCAATCAGTCTTGCATTTTATACCAGATCTTCATGAGACTCCTAATGTTTCAAAGATTTGTCCTTTTTCTGCAATAGGTCTTCTTCTACTCTTTTTGTCTGTACAAAAAATTAGAGTGGAATCATGCTGCTATCATTTTATGGAGACGATTTTTTCTAGTTTCTGGATTTCTTTTACTTAGAGGTGACTTAGTTGTATCACTAAATGGAAACAAGGTTTTTTTAAGCATTTTTAATACAATTCTCTGTTTTTCTCCACCATGCGGAAGAATCTGATAATTTCATTTGAATTAAATATTTTCCAGCAATATCTGTTATGAGCATGTAGACAAGAGCTTCAAAGTCCTCTGACTGTGGATATGAAAAAAAAAAATCTTAAGAGCTTATGTTGGGTGCTTAATTCTAGAAGGGGAAAAGACTTCTAAAGGAAAATGTTTATTCAGTGCGGCGTATTCACTGCATATCAGCACCATTAGTGAAATTTTCTTTTATGTTTGAAGTTTCTCTTTAGAGTACTCTAAGTAGTGTTTAACAAGAGCACAGAATTTAAGGCATTTCCTCTCTCTCTTTTAGGCACAGAAATCATGGATAGAAAGAGCATTTTACAAGAGAGAATGCGTTCATATCATACCCAGCACCAAAGACCCCCATAGGTAAGTGTATGCTACTTATAGGAAAAATTGAACTCATTTGCAAGATGTTAATACACATGTGTGTGTATTTATATACGTATAAAAGGGGTAACCAGATTTAGAATGATTTGTGGCTAATTTGTTTTTTGAAGATTCACAGTTTATCTAATATTACCCCCCTGTTAAGTCATAGATTTAAATTACTCAGGTGGTTTCTCTTCCCTGTTTAATATCGTAGGTGTTGCTGTGGGCGTCTAATAGGTCAACACGTTGGACTGACTCCAAGCATCTCCATTATTCAGAATGAGAAAAATGAAAGCAGGCTTACTCGAAATGACATCCAATCGGAGAAGTGGTCCATCAGCAAGCACACACAGCTCAGCCCCACAGATGCTTTTGGAACCATCGAGTTCCAAGGAGGCGGCCACTCCAACAAAGCCATGGTAACCTCATTTTTTTATGATAGCACTTCTAGCTCCAAAAAGGTTTTCAAAAAAACTAAATGACTTAATTTCATTCTGAAGTTCTGTGTAGCATAGGACCGTACTTTATACTTTTACATATCTTGTGCCAAAGTGAACAGAGTGAACCATAAAAGCTAAAGCACAGCATGAAAGAACCTACCTTTGTGAAGACATGCTAATGTGCCACTACCTCCACTGGCCAGCCATCTCTCCTTTTTTTTTTTTTTTTTTTTTTTTGAAATAGTTTTAGAATTAAAATATGGTTTCCCGTTGTCCAGTATGTCATTGCAAGCCTGGAAAATTTGAAGAATACGAGATGTCTCTGAAACCGGGACATAAATTGAGGGATAGGAGTTAGGCTTCCTTATCTTTCAGTAAAATAGGGGCCCAGTGGTAAGTCATTAAGCTAGGAACTGGGAATTCAATTTCTGTCACAGATTTCCTTGAGAAAGTCACCTATCATGATATATATACACTGCTATCAAGTGATGCCATAGTATCTGAGAAGATTGCTCCATTAAGGAAGTGATACATTTCCAGTGCCTGTGCTACCCCAGGCATGTATTTCTACATGGCATTGCATGATCATGAGAGGGTCTCCAGACCAACTGTATCTAAACTCTAGTGCCTGGAGCTTTGGGCAGGAAAAATGATTGTGTCCAAAGTGGATACCGGCCAAAATGCTGATATAGGCAGCTATGAGGGCAGAGGCTGAGCAAACATAGCCCCACGGTTCAGTGTTATCTTCCTTGCTTCAGTTCTTCACAGCAGAAGTTCTTCACAGTTCTTCACAATCTTCTACATGATTTAAACCAAAATCAGCAATATAGTATTCTACCAATTGACTCCAGGCAATTAGAAATGTCATTTTACCTTTTTGTGAAAACAAAGATTTACTCTAAGATTGCAACAGCAAATGTGGATTCAGAACAAAACAATAGAGAATATGTAGGATTGCATATTGCTAATAAAAGTGGCTGTGTCATTAATTTTAAATCCCCAGTCACAGAACAAAATTTCACAAGCAGTATTAATTTTGATAACACTATAGAGTTGCAATTGAGAGTATACTAGATTATACAAAAACATAGATTAGGTAACTATATAATGAGATCAGTTACACAAGTGGCCTTTCTTCTCATCTACTAGACACAAATGATACTGTAACAATACTGTATCCTCTTTTTTAGGGGGACACTCTAAATTCCTATAGCTCATTCATTAATATTTAAGAAACTCACTTCACAGTTTTGCCATTCACATTTAAGTTTGTTTTTGTGGCAAGTTTTGAGTTAGAACAACTGTAAAAAGGCAAGGAACAGCTAAAGGCAGAGAAGGATGTGGAGCTGCATAAACTTTTGAGCAGCTTTTAAAACAAATTGTTAAATATAAAAAGAAAAAGACTGGAAATTAATAAAATGGAATCAGTGTAGATCAGCTGACTTTGAGTAGTTTTACAAATAGCATGTAGCAGTCCATCTAACCTTATATTAGCAAGGTAATACCCTAACTCTTTGAGTAGTTACCAAACTAATGTGACAGGTTACATTTCAATTATGAGCAATATTCTGGATCACTGCAGAATAAAGAGATTATGGTCGCTAGATCTGTTAAGGCAATCCTGCTGTGCTCAATTTTGTCCTGAACTTGTGACCAAATTAAACCAATCTTTTTGAATTTAGCATCTGCCTTTCCATGCACAAAAGAAATTGTGCTATTCTTCTGGATGCCATATCAATCTTTTCTTAATGACCACTCTTTACTGAACTGAAATTGCTTTAATTATGGCTAGTCAACGTTAAATGGAATTGGTTTTTTGAAAAGCTTTAGTTAGTTAAAAACATTTGTTCTTTTTAAAAATAGATTCCTCCTAATCAAATGCATTCCAATTATATATTTAATATGCACAATAAAAAGTTTGCATGTATTTGCAGCTGCAGAAGACAGAAAGTTTTCTACAGTATTACCAGCCTGATGTTTCTCTTTCTAGATGGAAATATATAAGAACTTAAATAGAATTCCAAAGTATGTAAACAGTTTTGACAGAAAGACCTTCTGATATTCAGATCCACAATACATTACATGTTAGTAGGTATATTTGGAAATCAGCTAAATAAAAGATACTATTTTTTTGCTTTTAAAATGCATAGAGTTTTGTCAAAACTGTTCAAAAATTATCTTGAAAGTCCTCAATGCTTTTGAAGGAGAGAAAAGATAGATAATCTTTTAATTGGCATAAACCGTGAAAAATACAATAGCTTTTATTTTTTGTTGTAGTAAATTAATATTCAAAGCACATTTACAGAATTTAAGAAATGATGTACTACATGGAGAGAGAGGTAACACACAAAAGCATCCATCCAAAGTCTGTTTAAATTTATGTGGGTCCTTCCACTGACTATGTAGCAGATTTTAGATGTCCTTAAGACATAAAGAGAATATTAATTCATAAGGAACCTGCGTGGTTTCAACTTAAGTGACAGATTTATTAATGAGTTTAGAGCAAGCTAGATCAGGATGATTTCCCTTGAAGGGATCAGTCTTGACATAAAGAGCAATTTGCAACACTGCAATCCTACTCAGGGTGGGTGAAATGTCCAGCAGCAATGGCCTGACCCCAAAGTGAAAGCAAAGCAGCAGAGTTAGACTGGCTTGCAGAACGCAGAAAGTTATCTGAAGAGATTTCCTCTAAACAAAACCAACAAAACACATCTTTATCTAGGTCTTTCCGTTTTATTCACTGAGTGTGAATAAAATGAGAATCTTCGCTGCAGTCAGGCACCAGAGACTCAGTAGGACACTCAGTTTGAGTGACAGTGCAGGATTTTTACTGCTTTGGAACTTCCATTTTCTGCCTAGGGCAAAGTCTGTCCGTCTGATTGGTGAGAGACATGTATGTTTCTTAGGTAACTACTCCACAACAAATTGTAATAAATGCTGTCATCAAATGGCACACTTCTTGAATACCTCTGGGCCAGGTTAGGAATCAAATGGATTTGATTATTTCAACTGACACCATTTTATGGTCGTATCCCAAACTTATTCAGGTCCATCGGTAAGTTTTTTTGGTTAAGAACGGCGCTCTGCTTCCAATTTTGACCTTCTCTGCTGATATGTAATAATTGAAGCCTTGCATCCTATTCATATGTCCCTTCCATAAAAGAGGGACTAATAATTTGCCATTAGGAATGATCACTTCTACAGTTGGCAGATGGATAACCCAGACCTTGAAGTCTGGGAGAATAGAGCAGTAGTTTAGCTCAGGCTCATATTTAAATTTAAAATTACCTCAGGAAGCTATTGCAAAAGAAATCAGGAATGGCAGAATTACTCATTAAGATTCTAAACAGAAACTAAAAAAGACAAAATATTCTGCTACGGTATTGAAAGAAATGAATTTTTAATATGGACAAAAGTGGCCTTAAAAGTGTTTATTCATAATTTAATGGAATCTTAGGAAATGATGACAGAAGAATTTTCTCATGCTCACTAGGTGTCATGTGAAGTAATAGCAAAGAATTATTTTAGGCATACCAAACTGAAAATTCCTTTTGTAAGAATTAAAATGAATATCACAGTCAGAAAAATTGAGGTCTATGCATTTTCTCTGTAAAGAAGAGAAATCAACATTTAGAACATTTTTCTACAAAATGAAGATCATTTATGATGGTTCAAATTTAAATTTACATTAAAAAAAAAAAAACCTTTTGGATTTATTTTCACTTAAGTCTCCTCTTTACAAAGTAAAACGAATTCTTATCTTAAGTTTTTTACCTATGGTACAAGAAACAAGTAGTCATTTGTGATAAAGGCATCTCAAAAAGGCATCTCAAATAAATGTAATAAAATATTTCTAACTCAGCATATAGCTTTAACTTTATTGAAAATCAGAAGTCTAGAAGGACAAGGATAGAAAGAGAATTTTGCCAATCGATGAGCATGTTTAAGAAGTTAGGGGCAGTGAAATCACACCTTCTGGGCACAAGCAAATACTAGCAAATGAAAAAAAAAATCACTAGGTAGAATAGGTACCTATACATTTGATTCTGTGTGTCTCTTCATTTTAGTGCCAGCCTTAGGCAGGAGGGATATAAGCCGAAATGAAATTAGAGCAGTTATCTGGACCACTGAGTGTCCTCTGCTTTCAGTAAACCTATATGGCTGCTACTTCTATCAACTAATTTTCTGCAATCATCTTTTTGATGTTAAACTTTCTCTCTACATTCACCAAAGGCACAATAAGGTGCATAGCCTCCACACTTTCACTGGCACAGTGTTCAGTCTTCGGACACACTGGAATAAAGCCCATGGCTCAGTATAAAAGGCTGCAACGTAACCAGGACTTGCCTTTGCAGCCTCAGCCCTCCCCAAAGGGCCAAAGGGAAAAACATTATTCTCCTGACAGCTCTCCTATGAGCTAAAATTTTGACAGCTCTTTATTCCCAATTATTCACTTCACCATTCCCTAGTGGATGGGAGCAGGTACTGTTCAGGGTTTTACCAGCTTCCAGGTAATTTGATAGGTTACTACGAAGGATCCAATACACATTCAATGTTCAATGGTACATTACACTTCTGCCATTTATGAATAATGTGTGTTCTTTGCCTATTAGCTGTTAATAACTTACATGGGGGCTGCAAGGAGCTTTACTGATTTAGTGGAGCTCACAAGTTCTTGCTCAACTTTTAATCTGGATGTGCTCCATTGCTTTCCAGTGAGTGTTTGCCCAAACATGTTTCTGCTTCCAAAAATGTAGGGAATGGCTGTTCATCATGCGACAACACATTCTGGCAAATAAATCAGACCTATAGTGTCTCTTATTCAATTAGACAGGAGTCCATGTAACTATCACATAATTCAGCAACTGAAGAACCTTATGGCAAGAAATACTAATTAGATATACTAAAAAGACACCAAATTGTATATTGAGTGTGGATATCACATTACCTAAATTCCTCTAGACTGAGGGCGAGGTACTTCTGTTACACACCTAAATGATGTCAATAATACCTCAGGGGAAAGACCCCCTTAAATAACTCTGTATGCATTAGTTCAATCAGAATTTTGATACAGGGGCAGCGTCCTATTGCCCATTTTATCCGATTAAGGAAGCCCTTCTTGATTTTAGAAGCTATAGGATGGACTTTGTCTCTCATGATCCTACTTCTGCTGTGCACCTGCAATGCAAAAAGGGTACAACCCTCTGATTCCTTGCACATCAGCAATAGAAAGAGCAGGGGAATAGCCCAGGTCAGGTCAGGAAGAGAGAGGTATGTATGCTATATAATATTATAGAAATTTTGAAGACAGTTGTTCACTTTAAGGACTCATAAATGGGTATCATCTCCCTTGAGACAAAATGATGCAAATGTAGCACAGAAAAGACAAGATCTGGATATGTATCAGGGTGTTTTAGAGTACTTTCAGCTTAGTTGTCCTTGGAATGTAAATTCATGAATTTGTAGAAATTAGTCTGTAAGTCTTAAGCTAGCTCTTATTGCTTTCATTCATCTGAAAAGTAATTATTTTGTAGTCTTACTTGGTTTCAGCTTCTGTATGCCTGGGCAACAAATCTCGTCTACTATATTCTACCTTTGTAGAGTGTTGTGTACCACTAATTTAAAAATCACGTACATGAGAATATCTGTTATTGTGGATTTACTTTAGGGTCTGGAAGATGAAATAAAAACATAGCTGTTTCTCTGGCTCCCTGGATGAGATTTCTGTTTCAGATAATACATCCACTATGTAGAGATATTTAACTTTTTAACATGGTTAGGCAGGGTAAAATGCTTGAAGGATAATTTCCTTAACAAAGGAAAAATGTCCAGCCTCTGAATTGCAAATATTCCATGTTTGCTTTTTTCACAAAGAGCTTTCTTTTAAAAATCGTCAAGTTATCAACTAATTTGTGCTTTTTGTTGTGAAAGTCACCTTGTTTTTCCATGATCTGTAGGGCATAGAGCATCTGCATTAAACACCACTGGGTATAACCGGTCTTTTTACCACCACCCTTATCTCTGCAGTATGTACGCGTGTCTTTTGACACAAAGCCTGATCTTCTTCTGCACCTGATGACCAAAGAGTGGCAGCTTGAGCTCCCAAAACTTCTCATCTCTGTGCATGGGGGCCTTCAGAATTTTGAACTTCAGCCGAAACTCAAGCAAGTCTTTGGAAAAGGCCTCATTAAGGCTGCCATGACAACTGGAGCATGGATATTCACTGGAGGAGTAAACACAGGTAACAGAAACATTGAAAGGACAGTATAGTGGTATCTCAGATAATTCATTGTTTTAGCAGAAAATATTAAGAACTTATCTGATTAGAAAGATGTTGGGCGTATGTGCAAACAAGAACATGCCAAGTTCATACCAGTCCAGCAACTCCCAGAGAATGAAATATTTGCTAAAGTGCATTGGGATGCTGAAAATAAAGCCTCCTATGAGGCAATTATACTAGTGAAGACTTTGTAAGATCAACATTTACCTGCATAGAGGGTTTGGTAACCAGAAGCCCAAAGATGCAAAATTCTTATTATGTAAAACAGGAAGCATTTTCGTCCAGAAAAGACCATCTATTTTTTCTTATTATACAACCTGAATTGTGGGGGCAAGAAAAAAAAATCTGTTTTGTGGCTATAGAGAAAAACTTCATTGAATAAAAATCACTTTTTCCTTCTCTGCAGAGAACTTGACATATTTTTTTCTATTATGCTTGGAGCAAGAGACATAACATTGTATGCAAAGTTGAGAAAATCTGTAACATTCTGTATGGGTGTGGCCTTCTAAAGACCCAGAAAAGCAGGTGGTCCAGTTCTACTGGAAAACTGTATGGGAATTCCAGGAATAAGCTGAGAAACAGAGTTTGCCCAATTGAAAAAAGTTCAGCATTGCCTTGTCAGTCACCCCTGCCAAAGGAGGCAGAAAGAATGAGAGAATCAAGGGAAAATCGGAGAGTCATGAGAGCCTGTGGAAGATCAATGCATAAAGCCAATAGATGTACATGTAATTTCTTACAATAGTCTCATTTGCTGCATTAACAAAACTACAGTTTATTGCTTTAATAATACATCATATCATATCTTCTTACTTTCTATTAAAAATACTGTCATTACTTTACCATGAATTAATTTTAATGCACTAAGGATTGACTTCTGCATATTTCAATATGAATACTTTTCTTGTTTTGTTTTTTGGTTTTGGGTTTTTGTTTGGTTTTGTTTTTTAATTTCCAGAGCACATCCAACTTAAAACAATATTTAAAGTAGACCTTTTAAACTCATTGCTGTGGCTTACTACAGGAACACTGTATATGAAACTACAGAAATTTCGTGAATGAGAACTGAATATAATAATTTATTTTGGTAAATCCAAGACCATTGTGTTATGATTTTTCAAACCATCATACTTGTGAATGCCTGGACAATGCAAACAAATGAAAATAATTACTGTTAAAAAGGATTTTTTTTCCTGTAACTAAGTGGGACAATAATCAAAGAATGGAGTAGGAATGACCATCTCTGTGTGTTATTTTAAAACCATATAATTCCAGAGGCAGTACTGCATTATGAGTTACATCTCATTGCTGCCTTTAAATTGTAGAGCAAAGTAGCCAAGTGCTCTAGGCCCAGGTTTTAAAATTGTATAGGTGACAATTGTGTGCTTTATCACTGCATGAAATAATTGCACGAATTAAGAATTTTTCCATACAATCAGTTATGATGATGATGAATTTATACATCAGGTTTCTGTCAAGGAAAAGTATAATAGAAAATCTTGAAATTCTGTTGTTGGACTGTGAATCAGTGATGCAAAAAGGATGATGCATACATGACCATAATCATTAATATTTAATGACTTCAGTTGTTTTAAATATTCATGCCATCCTGTAGGATGATTGTCCTAAATAATAGACATGTCATCAGTCTGGACACATTTTCTCTTCTGAACCCATTGCGATTTTGGTTCTTAGTTTAATTCATAGGTAATAGCAACTAAAATTAAGAGCATTTTTTGTCATTTTTGACATGCATATAATCTGATCAGGAAGTACACAGAGAAACTGAGTAAGAGATAGCATCAATACCATAAAGAGAGAAAACTCACAGGCATCCTTCCATGCAGCCACATCACAAAAAATTAGTTATTGACCTACATCATAAAAATCATTTTTTGATGGAGAAGGAGGAATGATCCATATGTGGGCAATTTTTTCCCTAGCCTACCAAAGTCTTCTTCCCCACACATCCTTTGCACAGAAACACCACTCACAAAGCTGCTCTAAAGCACATTCAAGCAGCATCAGCAGAAAGCACAGGAAAGAGAGCTGGAGAGCAGTCATTCTCTCTGTACTAATTTCTGTTTTCTTGCTGATTCCCAGGGTTTTTTCCAGTACCCTACTGAAAGCTATCTCAGGTGACTCAGTGGTTGGAAAGAATGGTAGAATAGCTTACCACAAAGAACTGTAATTATGCTTTCACAATTTTTCATTCATTTTTGGACACAGGAGAACATTTGTATGCAGCCAACACTTTCTTTTTTTTTCTTTTTTTCTTCATTTCTTTATTTATTGCTCTGCTCAGAACATATTTGCCATACGTGTGCTTGCATGCATGTATGTTTGTAAACACGAGTTAAAAAAAATCAAGTTACAGTCAGTTGTCAAAATTTATATTTTTATTTCTAGAGCTGGATGTTTTTTCATTGCAACTTTATCTAATAAAATTTTAGGTGATGTATCTTGGGCTCACAAAGCTATCAGTATTTTGAATCCTGTTCAGTAATATCTACAGTTATACAGTAGCAGTAATCAATAAGAAAAAAAAATACAGTTTTACTTATTTATAAGCGTATGAAAAGGTGTTTCCTGAAAAGGGATTCTGTCTTGAACCCAGATCATGATGAACCAAAGTAACATAATTTGAATTGTATATCTTATGCTGTTTCTTTTCCAGGAGTCATTAGGCATGTTGGAGATGCCCTGAAGGATCATGCCTCAAAATCTCGCGGGAAGATCTGCACTATCGGTATAGCTCCCTGGGGCATTGTTGAAAATCAAGAGGATCTTATTGGCAAAGATGTAAGCACTATGCAGACATATATATGTTTCGAATATATGTCTTATGTCTACTTTTTCTTTACTCTCTACCCTCACTAACAATTTCTCTCAGAATAATTCCTCGCAGGATTTGTCTGTAGCAACATAAATCAATACATACATTAGGTTTCTATTATGCTTGATAACACTTTAAAGATAGCAACAGCAAAACTGCTATGCTGTGCAGGTCAAGAGATGGGAATATGCAGTGGCTTCTAGTACATATTGATTCTTTTCTTTAAAAATAAATTATAAAAAATTTCATTAAATATTATTCTTCAAATGTGTCTTAAACCTGTAAAATTAGATCTCTATGAGCCCTGAAAAGTGCCTAAGAAAATACCAGTTGCAAAGATTGAGCTCTGATTTGTTTTGCAACAGTATTGTGACACCTTAGTTAACTTCATATTTATAGATAGTCCCCCTTATTTTCCATCCTATCCCTTTTTATTACTACAGTGGCAGTTCAATACAATAAATGTATTTAACACAAGGCCAGGGCCAAAAACTAGTGTTTCAGGTACCTTTTAAGTGAGAATCAACTTTTCTTATGCTCCTTTGTATCATTCTTCTCTTTTAAACTCATACTGTTCTTCAGGAAAATGAATACCTCTGGCTTTAAATAGAAGAATGCCTTGCTTATAGTGTATTCTAGTTATATGTTATTTGAAATATTACTGAGCCTTCTTTTTATTTTCTTTTTTTTTTTTTCCTTATTTCTGGTTCTTTCCCAATCATTCTTCCTGAGAACCTGCAGCTAACCTTGAATGGAGAAGAGATGCAGTCTTCATTCTGCTTAATGAACATTTTCTTGTCCAATTTGCTCTCAGTCACCCTGCTCAATATATTTGTACATTAGAAACCTGGGGAGGAGGATTCAATTATCAGCCAAGTCAATCCGAATTACAATACAAGTGGGAAGAAAGAATCCAATAGGGATTCATAGCAATTTACTATTAAAGTATAACCATTAGGGAGAATTCCAATTAGCACAGTTTTATGCTCTCTAACACCACCAAAGCTTGTATAATAGGGCTACTAATACTGATAGCACAGCAGGATGAGGCTCTGTAAGAGCAATTCAGAGTCAGTTATGGACATTTCTGGGATACAGTCCCAAAGCTGAGTAGCAGAAATTACTAATCATAAAGATGAGCTGCTTCTGATTATGTAAGTGTAAGACTATTGTGCATACCCATTTCAAATAAGGCATCTTGCCTGAAGATTCATGGAGTTCTTCTGGAAACATTACAAAAAGACAGAAGGCAAGAGAGGTCATTAAATTGGTCTTGAATTAATTCATTTTGGAACATTATGCTTCCTCCCTTAGTTATTTCCACCTGCCAGGTTGTTCCTTGCCCCTTTTCTCAGCTAGGCACCACCTGTTAAAAGGACTCCACTGCCCTCCTTTGCAGAAAGGACTGAAGAAAAATATGCTATTTGCCTTGTTCCAGCCATCTGAAACCCATCCTCCAATTTACAGTTTCTTTAGATATTTTCTGTTAAATATCCTTCCAGACTCTGATCATCTGGGAACAGGATGAGCATTTAAAAATAATTAAAAAAAAAAAAAAAAGCTTGGCCAAAGCCTTCTGTTAATGCGGCTTTTAGACCTCTCTAGTGCCCCTGTGATGGTACGGATACTGAATTTCATCTTTGCCAAATCCGTCTTGCTGCGGCTGAGCCTGCAGGTCAGAGAGAGGAAGGAGGCAGGTTGCTCTCAGAGCCTCTGTTTGCCCAGATTCGCAGCTTCTTCCATGCCCGAAGCAGAGCCAAGCTTGGTAAAAGGCCTAATAAAAGCTGTCTTAACTCATGGTAGTCCGCTGGCTTGTCCTGGAGATATTTTACCCTAATATTTCATCCACATCCCTTACAAATGTGCTGAACAGAACATGCAGAACAGACTTAACATGAGATAAGTTATTTTACTGCTAATCTACTTCCTGACATTCAATCATTGCAAAAATTAACCTTTCTTTCTTACCCTTTTCCCTCTCTTCCCGCAATTTTCCTAGTTATTAATCCCTAAAATGACTTTTCCTCTTGTCCATATGTGCAGTTTCTTTTAGAAGCATTTGAGGAGGAAGCTTTTTTGAAAGCTTTTTGAAAAATCAAAGGATACTCTGTTGACTGGCTCATTAGAGGTGAATGCTGCGAAATGAACCAAAAAGAGGAAGTATAAATAGTACCATAAGCGCATAAAATGAATCATCGTTAAGCAAGTAACAAAGAGCACAAAGGATTTTACAGGGGGTGGGGTGAAATAAGTCAACCAATAGCAAAAGGCTTGTTGAACTCTCGCATCAGTGTGGCTTTATGCCTATGTGAACCGTGTCTAGTCCAATTATGATCAAACCAAAGAATAGTCAAAACATACCCTCACTGCTTGGAGCAGCATCAGATGCAGAAAACTTGCTTGGTCATGCAAAATTTATGGGAAAGGAGGGAGTTACCCGTATTGCCCATGCAGACACACATGCTGTCTCTCTCTGCCTCGTGGACATCAGATTTTGCTTGGCAAAGTTGAGCCACAGTTAACGCTCCAGCCCGTGTTTGTCTTTTATGTTTTCTGAAGTTGTGATTGAGTTTTATGATGCTTACCAACCCATTCAAATGGGTCAGCTCTCAGGAAGCCCAAGGGGGTTTCCTCAGAGCCATAAAGGGAAACGGCCAAGTTAAGCAAATTATCACTGTTATAAGCAATTTGTTTGGGCATTGCTTAAAGGTCCCAAATGAGATTAGTCTTACTGCCGTACTGCAAAAGCACAAAATAGTGCTCATCTTGATATGCTCAGCATCTAGTTTAAGAACAAAGCATGGAGGGGAGTGGTGATCAGTTGCCTTTTTCCCAATTCTCTGATAGAAAATAGGAGAAAGATGGCTTGTTCAGCCTTATAGAAAGCTGCTGTCATAAGCAGGTTTCTTGTTAAGTACATAGTCACTGTTCCTTTTAAAAGAGTGCACCTTGCAACCTTTTGTAGCACACTTACTACTAATATCATTGACTTTTCTCTCAGAGTTGTTCAGTCCTTACGTCAGTTTAATTCCTACTTACCTTGCTGTGCCTCCAGACACTGGACCTGGATTGACAAAAGGACACTTTCTATTTCCTATGCAAGATTTTTCAAATCCATCTTTTTTAAATACGGAAGAATAAGCATTTGAGAATCAGATCAAAATATGTTTCGATTGTGTAACTTAGTACATCTCCAGTATACTAGGATGTGCTGTTCAATAGAAAAAATGCCATGATATTTTACCTAGTAACTTGAAAGGAATGCAATATTTTAGTAATTAAAATTTGAAAATAAAATATCCCAAAACTTTTGTCCATTTTTATTAAGTGAAGTTAAAATTGAACTCTTGTATTGTGGTGTTGAATCACTACAAAATATAAGTCATCCACTGTTCCACACTTTATATATAATCTTTCTATATATAGAACCCAGGGGAGTAAAAAATCCTGAGATCTCTCCAAATTTATTGAGCTTTATTTGTTTCACTTAAGGTGCTCTTATAGCCGCAGGTGATAACTTGTTTCTCTCCTCACATTACTTCATTAATTGGTGGCCTTAATCCTTTTTAAGAAAAGTTTTATGCAGTGAGGAGGAAGTAGTCATGGTTGGATTTTATGATTTAGTGCAGCAGAATACAGAAACTGCAGTATGAACCTGCCCTGTAGACTTGTGGCAAAACAGAAAATGTTATCAAGAAGAAAACCATTTTCTGACAGGAAATCATGGGTTATGTATTAGATATAGAGATATGTATTCACATACATATCAAATCTTTTCATGCACGCTGTGTTCCAGAACAAATTACATTTTTGACTCTGTAGAAATTGAATGTTGAAAACAGAATCATAACCAAGTGCAGTTGTTCTTTACGGACTACTAACCATGGGTGCCTGTTTTTTATGTTGTTCAGAACACTTGGAAAAAAATCAGGTACTTAGAACATAAGCAACAATTGCACTTCTACTTGAAACTTTCTTTCACATGCAGCTGAAATGACAAAATTGTGGACCAAAAAGTGTCCATTTTAGTAAAAAAAATAAATTTGTATTGAATTAAATGTATGTTGTATATATATATATATATAATGAAGTCTGTTTTTCCCACTCTGTGTATAGTTAACACCTCACTTATGAAAGACTGCAATCTTACAGTAAGCAATTCGTATCAGTGCAGTTGATGAATATTTTAATTGTAACTGGAGCAAAGGCAAGTCTTCAGCAGAGTTTTCGCTATTATGCTCGGACAGTACTCACAGAAGAACTGGCATAGCTTAGTTATTCATATATTCAATTTTTTCAGTATGTGTTTGGATGATGGAAGAAGGAAGGTTGAATGCACTTTGCAGGATCAGAAATCTAGAGATTAACTGGAGAAAATTGTTTGAAGTCAGCCTGTCATGAAATAAGTGCTATTGGGAACTTCTCAAATTTATTGAGGCAATAACTGAGTAATAACTGTTTCAGAAAAGACATCCCACCATATTGGAGTATTCACTAAATAATTACTAACATTTGGTGACTCAGTAAAATGATGCTTTTGCAGAAGGAGAGGTGCTATGTTGGGACTTGGTAGCAAGACTGATGCATGACAGAGGGAATCATTTATTTCTTTGGAATTTGGCATGGGTAAGGCTGACTCCAAAGTCTAATTCTAAGAGGAATCAAGGAAAGTTTGTGACTAAATAGAGCAAAGAGGAGATTTAGAAACATCAGCTTAGAGCATCAGGGGGTTTTGCTATGTATCACAGCCAGACTAACTGAGGAATACTTATTTTCACATATAGACAAAGTCCTGCCCTCTCCCTTCTCCATGATCTCGTCTGTAAATCCTCCATTACTCAACAGAATGTTCAAGTAACCCTCCTTTCCGGAATGTCACCTTGACTTTAGCAAAGGTTATCTAAAGCAGGAAAACCATTTAAGAGTGAATCTCTCCTCACTCTTCACACATATGAAGAAAGTATACAACTGTCAAGTTCAATAACTTAACACTTGAAACCATATTCTTTAAAAAACCTCCCAGTGAGTCTTGTCACACCATTTGTGCTAGTTGTTCTTATATTCAGTATTTGTTTGCCAGAAAACATGTGCATCAGGCTAAGTACTGTCAAGATGAGCTACATATTTTCTTTTTATTGTTTCATTTAATTGCCAAGTTAGCTTATGGCAAGAGTTCACTTCCTCCTCTCCCCTATACATTGCAGTGAGAGAAAGAATATATTTTTGTGCAGCTACTTTCTGTACATTTCAGAATTACAAAAAAGCCTACAAACCTCAAGCAGCTTTAAGATTACGTCTTTATAATGCCATGGTATTTTTTGCTACCAATTTTAGCCTAGTTTTGGTAGATATTATGCAACAATTTTCAAGAAATATATTATAATTTGAGATTAAATTGAATTACTGGGAAAAAGATAATAACAGCCACAGCTGATTATTTCCCAATTTCATTTCAGCATAGTTTTTATCTAATGTCAAAATATCAGAGCCCCCTAGGAGGCCTGGTCATAGTCAGGAAATAATTGTCCTAGGAAAAGATGCAAGGAAAAAAGATTCATCCTGCTTCCTTGCAAACTTCCATGTAGGGAGCATGCCTGAGGCCAAACTTGAAACAGGCATATGTGCAGCATATACATAGGCGTCAGAGTGTAATGCTTCCAGGAGCCTCCAAACAGAGCCAAGAGCAACCCTATTCCCTGGTGCACTGCAGAACTGTGCGGTTAGGAAGAAGGTTTAAGCTGAACAACATTTGCATGGCATGGCACTTGTGTGGGTAGGGAGCCATGGACAGATGTGTTGGGGGCCTGTTACTGAGCAGTGTTGGAGCTGGAGTCTCGCTCATGGATGTCATGCATCCTGTGCTAGGTCTTCTTTGATGTCAGTGCTTCACCTTGTCCTCCACCTTGGGAGCTGCTGCACCCAACACCACTGTCCAGCTGGCTGGAAAGGGAGTTCAGAGGTGGCCAAGTGGAAATCCCCAGAAATTGACAGGTTAGGCCCCTATTGAGCAAGTCACACGGAGTCACACAGTTGTTTGTTTTTTGACCTCTCCGCTCTCCCAAGATCTCAATGTCTTGGGTGTTATTCATATGATTAATTTCTCTCTCACACCAAATTGCATTTCCTAATGTACATGTCTCACACAACTGCTTTATTAAATTTTTGTCCATCCTACACAGTGAGATACTTTCGAGCTATTTTTAAGCACTCTCCCTACACTGAGTCTCAGAGAGTGCCCACAGAGAGTGTAAACAGAGTATGTTAGTGCTTTTAATTCAAGTGTGCTGCCTCCCCAGGGTACATATATGCGCTTGCTGGAGTGAGTGCAGTTCATTGCCTATTTAAATTCAGAGGTGTTGTCTTGAGGATAAATACTTCCTTTCAGCTCTGCAGAGGAAGATGCCATGGGCTATTATTCCCCCTTCTAGATGCGGAAAGAGGAAAATCTGCTGAGTGTTGTACTAAAGCAATCCACCGCAAGCAAATAACCTCAAAGCTTAGGATTCAGTTGCCTTCGTGAAGATTTTGCTTATCCTTTAATCAGGATAGTCAGAGTTCATGTTACGGTCTGTGAACTCCATTACAAAAAACGCGGAGCTAGGAAGCTCTGCATGCAGTGAACATCATTGAAAATAAGTGTATTCTTGTTTATTCTTGTTTTCACATTTCTAATTTTTATTAATAACAGGATTCACCTTTTAGTGGCAGACACAGAACCAGAGCATTACCTTCTAATCTGCCTTCAAACAGCATTACCAAATCAAGAGGTAGTTTTGGAGGTTTTGGAGCTGCAGTTTATTAAAACTGGAGAAAGGGCTATTCCTGTTAGAAAACCTTAACCAGTTGCTCTTGAGGACAAACTGCCAGGTTACAGCAAAATCACATTCCCATTGGCTGATTGTTTTTCTTGTAGTCACATAAGGAATGGGTGACTCAAGTCCTTTCTCTCCTGACAGGTCTGTGTCCTCTATACCGAGAGGACAAAGCAACTACAAAACATGTAACTGTTTAAAGTGGTTTTTTATTATTATTAGGAAGTATGAAAGAAAGTTTTTTCATACTATTCAAGCTATTTATAAAGATTTATTTCTCAACTAAAGAGCTCTTTTAAGTAACAAAAAGGGAGGGAAGATTAAGCTTATGTTTTTCTGTTTGCAAGCATTTTTGCCAACGCCTAAAAATGTACATTATTGTGCACCAAAAAAGACTGAACATTTGTTTATTTTGCAAAAAGAACAATGCCAGGGCCTTGAAGAAAACTCCTTGCTGATCAAGTGTAGCAGAGACAAGTTTTGTAACGGGTCACTTCAGCAATATTTCAGTCAAGAATTTCAACATATTTTCAGAAGGAAAACAAATTTTCAGAAGAAACGCTGCAATTCCAAAAAGAAAAGGCAGGCCTATCTAAACAATCCAGGGAGCAATATTTCTAGCATTTGGCTTTGAATGATCAGCCACATCCTTCAATACGTGATAAAATGTTTTGTCACATCAGCACAGCCTGACTGATGGAGACCCACCAAAGCAACTGATGGACTGCGATGGCCCAGTGTCATGGTTTGGTCTGACTGGAGGGTAGGAATGGGGCAACTGTGGGCAGCTCTGCAACAACATACTCTGTTTGACCACAAAGTAATTTCCCCCAATGAAAACAAATCAAAGGCAACATAGAAAATTCCCTTTTGAATGGCAACTTGGTCATGCTATTGTGAATGCAAGCAGTTGCCTTTGTATTGTGCTGAGGCTGAGGCAACATTTTTTTCTCAAAGAAATCAAAAATGTTATATAATACCACGTGCACACCCCACCAAGAGTGGCATTCACTACTCTGCAAACTCAGGCCTTTTTTTCCTTGCAGAGATTTTTGCTTGTGTTTACATGCTGGCAGAACGTCCCTTGTGCTGCTCTTCTTACTTAAATGGAATCAGAAAATCTGAGTAGAGGCAGGGACAGCCCTCTGGGAGGTTTCTGGCAGGTGGTTTGGCAGGTCTGGCAGGTACTGAGGCCGTGGGACTGGTGGGTGCTCTGCAGATAGAGCCAGAAAGGATCCTATAAAGGGAATTTGTGAAAAAGTCATTGAAAGACAGGTGGAAACAAGGTGGGAAATGTGAGTGTGATCACACAGTCTCTCGTAGAATTGATCCTCAACTGGGCTTATCAACAAATCGGCGGCCACAAAACAGGTTACGCTAAAAAGACTCTTTAAGCACTGTCTGCATCTAGAAGGCCGGTCTCCACATGATTTTTACACTTAGATGGCCCCCTGTCTTAAGTGCTAGGGTTACCTTCTGTTCCTTACTCACAGGACAGCTGAGCTCAAGGGCAATACTGAAATAGCTATTCACAAACAATTTTGGAGTTTTTTTTTTTTTCTGTTGTATCATTCTGTCAGCTTGCATCACATAACTGATTCAGTTCAAAGGGTCCTTTCTGCTTAGCTATCTTCTTCCTCTGCCTCTAAAATGCAGGTGGTCCGACCATATCAGACGATGTCCAATCCCATGAGTAAGCTGACAGTGCTCAACAGTATGCATTCCCACTTCATTTTGGCTGACAATGGCACTACTGGTAAATATGGAGCAGAGGTGAAACTTCGTAGGCAGCTGGAAAAGCACATTTCACTTCAGAAGATAAATACAAGTGAGTAATATTCTGCCTGCATTGTTTTATAATTACAATTGCATTAACAACACTAAGAGTTTAAAAAGGTCTGTATGTATCTAGAATGCTGCTATCTTAATTGGTGAACATGTGTTAATAAAGCTAAATAATGGTGAATAAAGCTAATACAGTTTGATTCTAGTACTGTGAGTGATAGTATGGGCACAAATGAAAGAGGTGAACTGGTTTCTGGTAGCTTACAAACAGTCTTTGTTAAGGTCCTCAGGTCCAAAGATATAAATCTTTGCTATGTCTCCTTAAAACTGTATAGTGGTCTGATCCTCTTTATCTCATAAAGAAAAAGATACAATTATAAATGGTACAGAAAAGGATGAAATAAAGTAAAGGAGAATTTTCTATGACATGTAACTAAACAGAAAAGGACTTTCCAGATTGGGAAAGTAAGCATCTCTGCCTGGATGTAGAAGATAATATTCTAATCTGAACATGTTATTGTATCCATCTTTTCATAGCCCAAACCCAGAAACATTTTGATATTTTGTCTTGTGCTTTTATTGGTATTTCTGTGGTCGTATAGAAGCTTAATTTCGGTGACGAGGTGTTTGTTTTTTATTTGTTTGTTTTTCTAAATACCTTCAAATTTTTTACTTCCTCTATTTATGTGCTTTTAGTTATTAGAAAATTGTTGCAATCACAGAAGAAAATGATCATCTCTGGAAAATGAACCTGTGCCCTAAATAGAGAACAAATCCTCAGTTTGGGCAGTAGCCAGGCAGCACTTTCTCAGTCTTACAAGCAAACTTCAGCATTGACCTGTTTAATTGAAGTTTAGGAATAAAAACAGAACTAAGTTTTCAAAAGTGATCACATGCACAGCCTTTCTGTTGATAACTCCCTGTAAACATGCAATTTTAAGGGCAAGGAGATTGATGTGTTTTGTGATATGGACACTGGAAACTGGAATGAGACCAGGAAACACATTTAGCCTGTCAACCCTGAGAGGATAATGAATTACAGATGGGCCCAACGGGCTGAATTCAAAGCAGCATGTTGGTAGTGCTTTCTGTATAAAGATTACAGACTGTGCTTAAATTAAAATGTTGTGCCACGTGGATCTTTCAGCATCACTGGTCGAAATTTCATGCTACAGGAAATCAAAATGGGAGAATGAAAACATTATTTTTATGATATCGGTTTGTATATCTCTTTTTCTCAGATGGTGATGTGTGTGTATGCGTGCTTGTTCTTTGCTGTATGTTTGTGTGTGTGCGTGTCTGTGTGTGTATGTCCTTAGCAAATGAAGATACCTAGACTCACCATCATTTGTATGTAACATTTGAAAGTGACATGATGTAATCAAATTATAGAACACTGTGCAGTAAATAACAATTCCTTTGGAGAGGAATCCAAGCAAAAACTCGCAAAACCATCAAGGATCTCTTTTCTCAGATCTGGAGATCCTCCTGCCCCAAGAGTGTATATATATTCTCTTCCCTGCTCCAGTGATCTCTCCCTTCTGAATCTGTCTGTCTGGTAAATATAAGAATACTTGGGTCTCGCAACACTTCTTCAAAGACAGAAATATGAGAGGACTCTTAAGTGGGAAGGTTGCTAGTGAAATTTATAACGCATTGGTTCAGTGAAGCCCAGATTTTTTTCCTGCTTTGTAGATTTGAGTAACAGCATAACTTCAGCAATCAAAATGCCTATCACTGCAAGGACTTGGAAGTTCCTTGCCTCCACCCTGTGTTGCTTTCTTTGCTTTAAAAGCAGGTGCCTGGTTTGTGTCCTGCCACCAGTGACCAGAGCGCTGGCCGTGTGGGTGAGATGAGCAACACCTGTGCCCATGGCTGCTTTCTGCTGCCTTTCTGCACGCCCGTCCCAGCGGGGCAGACACTTCTCCGGCCCACACGGGCCCTGGCGGTGACGCAGGGGACCCCCGGCCGAAGGGCAGCGCGTGCAGTCGTGTGTGCCTGTCCTGATTTGCTGCTTCTCAGTAGTCAGCACGTGGAGTGGAAAAAAGGCACTGACAGCACGAGGCTTGGGTTCCCCAGAAAGTCAGGAAAAGGTACAGCTTTGCCTAATCCCCAACAAAAAAGCAGGGGGCTAGAAAGCAGTGCAGATTCAGGAACTAATAAACAGTCAGTAACTATTCATTTCATAGCTTCTCCTTGGACAAAAGTGCTGAAAGCAGATTTTATTCTTATTTTTAAGCCTTCTTTACTTTTACATGCCAGACCTGTCATTTCTTCTTATTTGCTTTCCTTTTCTTTGGCTGTATCTTATTTCATCATGGGGATAGCTCTTCTGAGTATCCAGTATCAGATGGTATTCACAAAGAGAAATTTCAAGCTTGTGTTCACCTATTAAAGATACAGAGAACTGTATTCCTCTCAAACAGATTAAGCAAATAACAATCTGTATTCTTCTAAAATTCAAGTTTAAATCAGGCCCTTAAATATGCCAGATAATTCTGAAAGACTGAACTGCTTTTTTCTTTCCAACAAGCTATCATTCTCAATTATTCAGCAGAGTCTAATTTCCTGAATGTTACAGATCTCATTGTTAAAAAATATAATAAAAAGCTTGTCCTATGCCCTCTATTTTAGGATAGAATATCACCAGGGAGAAGAAAGCCTTCACTTGAATACTCTGTTTCCCTAACACTTTTTCAGATTTTACCACTTCCATAACTCTTGTTCTGTGGCCAGTATCGATATAATAACAACAACAACAACAACAACAACCTTTTCAGGCAAGCAAAAACCACAGTCACATTTGTGGGTCACTCAGAATCTGAAAATTCTAGTTCTAGGCTAGTTAGTGAGTTGTGCATTTAGCTGGAGGTCAATATGATGTGTCAGTGATCAGGGCAGGTCTTATTTTCACAAGAGAGGTGATCTTAACACAGCCTGTCAGGTGTCTCTTGCAACCTAATGCAATAGTTTCAAAATATGTGATTTTGAAGTGAAAGTAATATGAACTTTTTCCCAAAACTGTTTCAAGTTCAAAATCATTTCAAGTTCAAAATGAAATGTAGAAATGTAGAAAATGAAATCTATCATAAATATTTCTCAGTTTTCAGTTCACAGAAATGTTTGAATCCGGAACTTTTTGCCATAATTTGGCAGTGCAATCATCTCAAACTATACACTGGAATGAAGGAAAAAATCTTTCTGACCACCTAGGCTGTATGGCTTATTTGCTCAGCATTGCAAAGATAAATTGACAGCTAGTGTAAAATTTTTACGCTGAAACACAAAATTGATAGTTTTACTTCATCATTTTTCAAAAATATTGCACTATTGAGTAGAGAGTAAAAATTGCACTATTTTCAAGAGGAATGCACAAATATTTTAAATTTAGTAAAGTGTTACAGTTCAAAAGATGCAATTTCTGGGAATATATTAAGCTACTGCTGTGTTTTGAGCTATGATGTTTTACTCAAGTCTTTTCTTGACATGTAGGTGTCTGTAGCACGTCTGGCTGCCATCATTCCCTGCTGCCATTTGCAAGTGTAGTCTCACTAGTGTAGGATGGATGAGAGAGGATAACATGTCCACATTTCTCTTAAGGCAACTCAGTACATGGTTTGCCTTGTTTGCACTGGAATGCATGTTGTATCATATTAAGGTTTTAAAGAGATAATTGAAATTGAAAAGGCTTTGGTTCTCAAGAGAGATTTTTTGCCCCAACATTGGTCCTACTATTCAATTACTCTTTAAAAAAAAAGAGTATGCATTCATTAATTTCCTCTCATCCTCAGTATTCTTCATTAAAGTCCTACTAAAATCTTATGTCTCAAAAGTTGTATTTATTCAGTTATTGAGGATAAACTTTCTTTCTAAAATGTTAAGAATGTCCCTGTTTTTCTAGAATCCCCCACACAATACATCCCTTCCTTCCCCTGCTTCCTGTAAAGTCTTCAGCATTTATTTGTAGATTTTTGTTTCCCTTTGCAGAATTTTTTCCCCAAATATTGCATGTTCTTTCCAATGGATCCCAATGGTGGAAAGAAAGATCAGAAGAAATTGTTTACAAGTATGAGGCAGGACATTTGGCAGAACCAAAAATCTGGTATTGTTAACTGGCATTGGATCAGAAATTAATGAGCTTCTTGTGCAACAGATGTAAAAGTGCAGGTGGTGTTTTTTTTTTTTTTTTTTTAACTATCCTGGGGAAATGCTACCTGATGCTATAGAAACAGAACTTAATGTATTGCCAATCAGACTATGTACCTGCTAAACAGAGAGAGGAAAGAAATGAAGCATCCAGTTACATGAAACACCCTATTGCAGATCTTCGAATTATGACATTCATTAACAAAACATCGCTATGAAATGTGCTATAATGACTTTTGCTAATATGTATACCGTTACCTCATCTTCAGAGCACTATTGAGTGTCATGATAGAATCAGCCATGCCTTCAGCTTGAACCACAGAGGAAACTTGTTCACAAACTGCATGTTGGAGGTTACAGGCCATTGCTGTTTCTCTGCAGACATGAGACTGGGATAGCTGCCATGGCATCAACTCAGGTCAAGGACTGTTAATCATTTTCAAAAAAAACCCACCTTATTAGGTTGAGATTCCATGAGTTTACCCATTTTATTCTTAGTCAGAAGAATGCTTTCTAAAATTGCAAATGTAGTCTCAAAATAGTTCATGTAACATAAATTTATCCTTTTCTGATATTTACTGAAACTCCCTGTAAAAAATCCTACCTAAAGTTTCATTCTCTTGACTTTGTGTTCATCTTGACTTATTTATAATATACAGTTCATCCTTCTTTCTTGCATTACGGCCTTCATTTCATGTGGTATAATCATGGCTATTCTTTGAAATCAGACTCAGATCCTTAAACCGCTTTGAGTATGTTTGCCAAGTACTTCCATCTTGAATACACTGCTCTCCTTGTAAATGATCTTACTACAATTGTGGAGAAAGTCAAGTAAACAATTGCTTAGTTCATATACCTACGATGCTCACACATAGACTATGTGGAAGTGACAAATTT